ATCTCCTGACATCGTGATCTGCCCACCTCAATTTTGTATTTTTAGTAGAGATGGGATTTCACCATGTTGGCCAGGCTGGTCTTAAACTCCTGACCTCAGGTGACCCGCCCACCTTGGCCTCCCAGAGTGCTAGGATTACAGGCCTGAGCCACTGTGCCCCTAGTTTTGTATTTTTAGTAGAGATGGGGTTTTACCATGTTGGCCAGGTTGGTCTTGAACTCCTGACCTCAGGTGATCCGCCCGCCTCAGCCACCCAAAGTGCTGCGATCACATGCGTGAATCACCGAGCCCGGCCGTAATTTCTTGAGTACAGCATCTTCTCTTATCTGGGGATATTCCAGTTCCTGGAAATTTTCTGATTGAGAGTTGCTTTATGTTTGGAGCTACCTTTCACAATCAAAGTTTTCCTCAAATTTCTAGTGGCACTTTCCCATCCCTATGTAAAAGAGAAGCACTAAAAACCTGTCTGGAAGATTTGTGCACATTGGCAGGCCATTGACTGGCTGTAGAGGGAATGGTAGCCAGTTGGTGTTTTTGGTGGGTGCTCTTAAACGTCAGTAACTGTTGTCTCTCAAGAGTCACTTAGTTTTACCACAGAAGGATCCTCCAACATCCTGCCTGGTGGGCATGTCTGGCTTTTGGCATTCTAGAGCTCAACAAGGATAAATAGCAAAGGATCTCATTTATCCAGTATACAAAATTGTGCTTAATCTCTATTTTCTGAACACCATCACCTAGTAAAGAAGTTTGTTTTTTCCCTTTTAAAGTTGAATTTACTCTCTCAGTAACTTCACCCTCCAACTTTAGGAGCCACAGTGTAATTAATTACTGGTCAATCTTGGGAATATCTCATCTCTGAAGCTAGTGCTGCAAACAGCCATTCGACTGAGCAAATATTTCAAATAACTGTAAGACACTTAAGAAATGCTACCATTGGCCGGGCGCGGTGGCTCAAGCCTGTAATCCCAGCACTTTGGGAGGCCGAGATGGGCGGATCACATGGATCACGAGGTCACAAGATCAAGACCATCCTGGCTAACACGGTGAAACCCCATCTCTACTAAAAAATACAAAAAACTAGACGGGCGAGGTGGCGGGCGCCTGTGGTCCCAGCTACTCGGGGGACTGAGGCAGGAGAATGGCGTGAACCCCGAAGGCGGAGGCGGAGCTTGCAGTGAGCTGAGGTCCGGCCACTGCACTCCAGCCTGGGCGACAGAGCGAGACTCTGTCCCAAGAAAAAAAAAAAGAAATGCTACCATTGACTGGGCGCTGTGGCTCACTCCTGTAATCCCAGCACTTTAGGAGGCTGAGGCAGGGGGAATCACCTGAGGTCAGGAGTTTGAGACCAGCCTATCCAACATGGCAAAACCCTATCTCTACTAAAAATACAAAAATTCGGCTGGGTGAGGTGGCACATACCTGTAGTCCTAGCTACTCAGGAGGCTGAGGCAAGACAATCACTTGAACCCAGGAGGCAGAGGCTGCAGTGAGCTGAGATTG